GAGGTCATAAAATGCCTGTTGCCAGAGCTGGGTGTGGTAGCTTAAGCCTGTGATCCTGGCACTCTGGAGGCTGACGCAGGAGGATCACTGCAACTTTGAGACCAGCCTGGACTACAAAGTAAGCTCCAGGCCAGCTTGAACTGTATGGTGAAACCCTGTCTCAAAAAAGAAAAAAAAAAAAAGAAGAAAAGCCCTGTTGGCAGGAACAAAAGCATCATGTGCCTCTGTTTTCACCCAAAGGTGAGACAGTTTTCTTCACCTAGATACACCGGGTTGACACCTCATTGTGTCTCTCTAGATCAAGTGGATAAGGAGCACCCATTACAGAACCAATGTCTAGGGAGCATGATAGGACTATTGTGATTGGCTTACTAAAGCTGCTGCGTGGGGGGAGGGCGATGGTTTGGGGGGTACAGGCTTGCGGGTTAGCTCAGTTGTTCAAGCGCCTGCTCCAGCTCAGTGGATTAAAGTGCCTGCAAGTAGGCGCAGGGGCTGGAGGTTCAATCGCAGTGCTGGCCCTGCTCCCAGGGCATGCTGAGATGGAAGGCAATTGAGACTGGGTGTGGTGGCTCAGCCTATAATCCCAGCACTTGGGAGGCTATAAACAGGTAGATCATTACAAGTTCGATCTAGTAGTGAGACCCTGAATACCTTGTAGACCCTTCCCTAAATACAAAAAAAAAAAAAAAAAAAAAAAAAAAAAAGCTGCTCGGATTTTATTGTAATAGGTATTACCAAAGAATCTTGTTAAAATGCAGATTCTGGGACAGGGAGATGGCTCAGTTGAATAAACACTTCCCTAGCAAGAACAAGGGCCTGAGTTCAATCCCCGGTTACAGGGGGAAAAAAAAATGCAGATTCTGATTCAGTAGATGTGACAGGAGCTAACATTCTGCATTTTTTCTTTTACAGAGACCATAAACAAACCAAAACAAAAAAACCCAATAAAAATGATACAGAATTTCAAATTAAGATGTTAGCAAATTAACAATGGTTATTATACTGCATATTATTTTCAAAGTAGTTGCTCAGATTCATTCTGCATTTCTAACAAGCTCCTAGGGTATTAATGGTGCTTCAGGTATCAATTACAATGTCCATCTTAACTACCAAGCATATAAGGTATTTTTACTAGCTGAGGAGCACATTCTTTCCTTGTAGAAAAGCTTAAAGAAAAGCCAATTATAATCAGAAGTACTTAATGACCATGGCAGATTGCAAAACATATGTGAAGCCATAGAAGGAAGAAATTGTTTACTGTACTTTGGGAATCATGAGCTAGAGAGGAGATCAGGACAGGCTGAGACATATTACTAGAAGGTTGGGCTTTAATCTGTGTTATGGTTTATATCTGGATGTCTTCCCAAAGCCTCATGCCCTCTTAGGTAGAACTTTTCAGAGGGACTGGAGCATGGGTACGTGGTACTGGATCAGTGTGCTGATTGGTTTAGCGTAGTCCTGGTGTGGGTGATGGACTTACTGGAGAGGGAAGATTCAACCTGGATTTGGGTGACCCCAGTCAATAGGCTTGCAGCCTGGATGGAATAAAAAGATAAAAGAAGGAACAACTTGCAGCCTCCTGCGTGCCTGTTCCTCCTTTGCCGTGCCTGTCTGCCATGCACCCTGCCTTGGAACCAACTGACTATGGACTGAAATGTCTACAAACTTTGAGCTATAATAAACCTTTTCTCTAAACTGCGGGTGTCAGAAATTTTGTCCTAGCAACGAGGCAGTAACTAAGACAATGTGTTTGGCGTAACATAAAACCAGAAGAGACAGTCTATGATAGTTTTCCAGGGTTTAATTTGGCTGAGGTACATTGCACACACTAGGTCCTTGGATATTTCTAATGCCTATTTTGATTTTAAAAGCACTAAGAAGTCTACCTACAGTTAAAAAAACAAGACAAAATGAAGAAACTTTTCTCACATAGAGATAACACTTCATAGCCAGGACCGTTTATGTAATTTGTGGAACCCAGTGCAAAGTGAAAATGAGGGGCTGCTTTTCTAAAAATCATTAATACTTTCTAGATGATGTCAAGAGGAATAAAACAACACTAGAGCCCTTCTAAGGTAGGCTTTGTACAACTTTCCATAAAGCAGGGCCTGCTGGGAGCACTAAATGAGGTGATGGATTGACTATGCTTTAAGGAACAAATAACTCTGCAACACATGTAGCTCTTAGTTATGACTCTTGGTTGTAGCAGAAAATCACTGCATGTAGCTGCAGCAAAAAGCAGCATTATACAGATCTAGTCACGTGTCTCAGCCTCCAAGCAGAGAGGCAGCCAGACAGGCACAGAAGAGAATCATTGGAGGCTCCTTCTTTCTCAACTCTACTCTTCTTTACAGATTTCCTATCTTTATGATATGGAAGGTCAGGCCAGGAGAACCCAGGTTGTTGTAGACTTCCTAGAGGACTGAGGCCTCTTTGCTCAATTCCATACTCTGAGGGAGAGCCTTTAGTAGGCTCGCCTATTTTCACCTCAAGTTAGCAAACACAAAGACTGGCAAAATGTATACATCCTAAGACCTCTCATATTGACTTGATTGTGGGGCATTCCATTTGTACTTCACTCTGAATCCCACATGGGGAAGCAAATCCTGGACCTCATATAGAGCTACATCTGTAGTACTTTGATTTTATTTTATTTTTTGGTACTGGGAATTGATCTTGTGCTTGTGCCACTGAGTCACTAAGTCTATCCCATGTTGTTAAGTTTCCAAGTTGCCCGGGCTAGGTTTAATCTTGTAGTCCTCCTGCCTAAGCCTCTCGGAATGTTGAGATTACAGGCATACAATACCTCTTCTGGCTATGGGACACTTTAAAAAAAAAACAAAAAACAAAAAACAAAAAAAAAAACAAAACAAAACAGAAGTAGCTATTAACACTAAACAATGCACACTTGGGAAATGCTGTGGTAAGTGGAGGGAGATGGGTGTTTGAATTACAGGTCTGAGCACCACAGTTCGGATTTGACTGTAGCTGGCAGTGAGCAGAACTGATGGGAAAAGAGGAGACCACAGACTGGAAGACTGATTATATGCCTGCTACAGAAATTTCGATCTAGCCAACAAGGCTTGTATTAGCAGGAAGACAGAAAGAGAATATCTGCAGAAATATTTAGGAAGTAGGTCTGGGGATATACCTCAGTGGCACAGCACCTGTCTGGCAAGCCCAAGGTCCTGAGTTTGATTCTTGGTACAGGAAAGAAGGAAGGAAGGAAGAAAAGAAGGAAGGAAGAAAGGAAGAAAGATTGATTTAGGAAGTACCCTGGTGTGGTAATGGGTACTTACAATCCTTGCACTAAGGGAGGTTTAGGCAAGAGTATTGGAAGTTCCAGGCCAGGCTGGGCCACTAGTGACTTAGCAAGACCTTGTCTTTAAAAAAAAAAAAAAAAAAATGAGGAGAGAGTGAAACATAAAGCTGGGCAAGTTATCTATGTGGAGTTCTGGGAATAAGAAAAACACAAGGGTGGTTTACACGGATTATTTGGGGAGTCCATAGAGTGGTTCATCGGTTGGAGAGATGGTACAAGAGCTGGGTGTGACCTTAGTTCATAGTACATTTGGTGACAGGAAGAATTATGCAAATGAAATTTTCTAGAGGCTTCAAACTGGGTCGAGGTGAAGGTTCTAATGATACTATGGTTTCAGTGTATCGCCAAAAGTTAATGTTAGCAACTTATTCCCCATTGCAACAATGTTGGGAGGTGGAGATATGACAGCCCTGAGGGTTCTGCCTATGAACTTGATAAAATATTTTGAGAGTTGTTCTAAAACAAGATCAACCAAGGTAGGGTGAGGCTCATCTGCAACCCCAGTATTCTGGGAGCTGAGCAGGAGGACTGAGAGTTCAAGCCCTGCCTGGGCAATTTAGGGACAGCTTGTCTTCAAATAAAAAAGTATAAAGGATTAGGGATTGTAGTGTAAGGCTGGGTCTCGGTGGATGCTTATGATCCCAGCACTCAGAAGGTTGAGGCAGGATTGCTGTGACTCAAAGGCCAGCCTGCACTACACAGTGGTACCCTGGCTCAAAAACAAAACAAATGGAAAACCAAAAAAACCCTCCAAAAACAAGTTCAGTCCCTTCTGCTCTCTTGCCCTTTGGCATGATATCATGGGATGACACGACCCAGGGGCAGACAGTGGTGCCTCCTTATTGGGAATTCCCAGCCTCCAAGAACTGTGAGAAGCAAAACAAACTACTCAGCCATTGTCTGTTAAAGCAAGAAAACAACTAAGAGCTGGTGCATTTTAACAAGCACAAAACACTGGGGTGTGGGGGACAACAAGACGCATAGCTGCGCAAGGACATTATTTCAGCAAAGCGACCAGGACAGAGAGAATGTCAGAACCAGGGGCTGTGTAAACCATCAAGAACAAGTTCCATACGGGCCCCGCACATCACAGAGGTGACAGGATGGGTCCAAATCTTGAGTCACTGCTATTCTCTGCACATTCCCAACAAGGAGGGCTGCACTTCACCAGGGCAGGTGTGGAGACTGCAACCGGCTGGGGAACCGCGCGATGCGCAAGTTTAGCTTCCTTTGTGCTGAGCGGGGGCCAAGCACTGGGTGTCCACAATTTGCTGAGAGCTGGCTCCACCTGAGCAGGGAGCAGCCACTGGCGGACAGCCCACTAAAGGGGTGCAATCTTTCACCCTACGTGCATCTTCGCTGTCCATGCAGAGGGTGAAAACTAAAGGCTTGGATTAAGGTCTAGCTCCTGTGGGGGTGTCAGCACCCCGGAAGGGCAATGCGAGAAGTACGCCGAGGCTCAGGGCGCAGGCACCTGCTCAGGAAGTTGGAGGAGAACAATAAGCTACCAAGCAGGAAGCGGTGGGTGAGCCATTCGGAAATTCAGGCCCCACGCGGGAAGTCGGCGGAACGCAGCGTCCGGAAGCTCCACGCCTGCGCCGTCCGCCCGGGCGCGCTCCCGCTGGGTGCTGCGGTCCGGCCCAGGAGGAGCGCGCGAGCAGCAGAGGCCGAGACCTCGCCGCGGGCCCCAAGGTGAGGGCCGGGGAGCGCTGCCAGAGGGGCGGCGCGACGGCGCGGGGAGCGTGCGCACGCGCAGAGCCGCCGCCGGCCAGTGCCCAGAGCGCGGGAGAAGGGACGCGGTCCACTGAGAGGCGCCGCGCCATGGTGAGTAGTCCCCCTCCCCTTTCTCCCGGAGTGCTTTGCGCGCGCCCCGTGGGCGGGGGGAGGGGAGGGCAGGCGGCGGTGGCAGCCATGTTGTTGTGAGTCTCTGTGTCTCACCCTCGGTACTTCGGTGGTTCGGAGGAGGAGGGGGAGGAGAAGGAGGTGGGGTGGGGGGGAGGGAGGTAGGAGGAGAAAGAAGACATTGCCGCCACCGAAGGCGGAGGAGGGGGAGGACGGCCACGAGCGACGCCGCCGGTGCCCAACGGTCGGTGTTCCGGCTGAGGCAGCGCGGTTACAGCAGCTCCGTAAGTCAGCTCGTGCTCGCCCTCTCTCCCGTCCTCCAGCGCCGAGGGTGCTGGCTGCGGGCTTTGTGTGGCGGGGCGGTGGGAGCCGAGCGCCGGCAGGAGGCGGTGGGCCTGCGGGGCTGCCGGCCGCGGCCTGGCCGCGCGCACAATGCGGGGGAGGGGAGCCGGAAGGGGGTGTGCGCGGCGGGAGCGGC